GGTAGGCGGATCGGCGAGGGGTTGGGGGGTGGGGGCAGTCACTTGACATGCGTGAAAAGCTGGAATGTTCGAGTTTACACTGTCTCGCTCGAGAGAGCCCAGGTGAGCAGACTGCCGCGCCGCCGCGTGCCCCCCCCCCAACTAAGTTAGCACCGTAAATCTGTTTCAGACGCGTTATCTTACTCTATTACTCGTGATATCCTATTGTGTACTATCCTAGTCCCGCAAGTCGCGAACTATGAACGTGGACTTACTCGCCCAATCGCCTGATCGCACATGCAATCGCGAACTATGACCGCTGTCTTGAGCCATAGGTTTCAGGGGCTTCGAAATGATGTGAAAACAATTTTGAGTACCTCATCTTTACGCTTTACAGCCGTAGTTCGGTCGGGTTGAATTCCATTCTGAGATTTTGGATGTATCTAGATGAATGAGTTATGGAATGATGTACTATTCGTTGTGGATTTTCTAACAGCCGTGATATTTCTCTGTTCATGTAAACTACGGCACAACGTTGTGATTAATGAAACTTTCCTTTTCTTTGATCATGCTTTCATAATATCCTCGTACCCATTTGGGAACTGTTACGCTGATAGCCAGCACCAAAATATGGGGTAGAAATTTACGAAAAGGGTTAGATACAAATCGAACGGTGCCGTATATCTCTCCGAGTTCGCTTGGTGAGCAACTTTAAAGATTTTTCCAGTTCTCCGATTCGCTAGTCCCTCATCTGTTCTCTAATCCTCAACATTTTGATATGCTTATGACGTCTTCCGATATGGGATCATTGATGTTGAACATTTCAGTGAGATTCATCAGCAAGTGATTCTTGCTCTTGAACGGCAGCATGCCTATCGACTATTCCAAATGGAAAGCGATTGAAGTGTCAGACGATGAGGATGACACTCATCCGAACATCGATACTCCCTCATTGTTCAGGTATGTTCCCTCTTTATATTTATTTCTTCGTTCTCGTGGTTACTGTTCCCCTTCCAAGATAATCTCGTTTCCGTCATCTCACATATCCGCTTCCTCTGTCGTCTTTCGGCGCTCATGTCCTTATAGGGGACATCCGGAACGGGACATTTAAAAAGTGCTGGTAGATGGCATTAGATCTAAGCTTAGGAGAGGGGAGAAACGCCAGTGAGAACAAAGATTGCTCACGTCCCCTCCCAGAATTCCTCCGGCGCCATTATTTCCACCTGCCCGGCGATGTGCGGTTTTTCGTAACTTTTATAACCCTATCCAAAGTCGGTGGAGATTCTCGTTCTCGATGTTTTTTCGTCTTTTTTAATAGTTCCGATATTTTTTGTTAGCCTGCAGCTGTTAGCCTGTTAGCTTTTTGTTTTAAACGAGACAGGTGTAGCTCATATCTGAGGAGGGTTTAGGGTGACAGCATACATGCACTTCACTATCGTATTTCACATTTTCAAAGATCAGAAGATTATGAAAAATTACCGGTTTGGCCCCTCCAGAACGAAGCTCAGCAAAGGGCTGAAATGCATTGTCAAATCAGTGAAATAGAAATGGAATGAAATCAGGAAGGGGCGCTATCTCAAGGTAGGAGGACATTGTAGGGGTAGTGCACCCATAACCGCGTAAAACATCTTCTTTTTGTAAAAAAAAAGCGGGACTGAGCCTATTTTAGACGACGAGGGTAGTCCCCAGGATGCGTGAGCAGTTTTTCTTTCTCAAATTCCTTCCCCTCCAAGGCTGTCCTGGGGCCGGGTGCAGCAAGCCCCAACGAGGGGATGGGGACCCATCCCCTCTCCCCAAGGGGACATATCCCCAAGGTTGGGTATATCTCCAGGGCTAGGGATATATCCCCAACCTTGGGGATATGTCCTCAACCTCGGGGAGAGGGGATAAACCCCCATCCCCTTGCTGGGGCTTGTTGCACCCGGCCCCTGAAGGATGCCCGGTATGTTGCGACAACGTGCAGAAAAAAGTTGAAATGTCCGTTAGCCATGGTCCAGATCATTACATTTGCCTCAGGTTGAAAGGTTGGTGAAAGACAGTGAATGAGCAGTAAGACGGATGCTAGGAAGTATGTGGTGACGGCAGAGCTCACAGATTGATATTGGTTTCATGCGCCGTGGCGCGAGCAGACTCGGAAGTTTGGCTAAATGTCCCAATGCTGTCCTACGGTGCCGTGAAGAAAAGGGAACTCATTGAAAACTCGAAGTTAATTTCAGTGGGTGCTGGTCTTAACACGTTGACGACAGGTGACGCGCAAGCGCGTCAGACATTTGGCACCGCATTGGACATTCTGACGCGCATGCGCGTCAGCATCTTGGTACCATTTTTCCCGCGCATGTCCAACTTCTTCCGAAATTTTTTTATCACTATTATATAGACAATACATCATCATGCCTTTGAACGGTGTGGTCCATGAAGCGGTCGAATATGCTATAGTTAAGCGAAGGTTTTCTGAACCCACTAAATTGTTTGTTCATCTTAATCTCCGGCTACTATTTTGGGGTAAATAAAACAAAATATTGATGCAAACAACAATGTGATACATAATTTAGTAATTACGATTCTATAGATGAGATAACATGCTGTTTTTCATTGGAGCATTCTATACAAAAGAACTTTCCACATATTACGCAGCGCATTTTGACCCATTGAGGCCTCCAAGAAACCCTTGCTCTTTTGAAATAGTTGCATAATGTTCTAAACACTTTGCGCTATTAATTCCTTCTAACCTTTACTTACTTCTTCTGACATCTGTCACGTGGGAAGCAACTGACTTGGGAAGTATTCACGCTCAACGTTCAGCAGTTATTCGACCACTTTCTTGGAGTCATTTATCCGAAGAGATAGTGTGAACATGCACATTCCAGCTTTCCACGCATGTCATTCGAATCGCCCGACCCTCCTCTCTCCCCATCCCCCGAGCTGGCTATACTCCCCCAGACTCATGGATTCCTTATTCTGCATTGATGTCATCACTAGTATTTCGCTGAAAGGGTAGAGACAAGCAGCGTGCGTCTTCACTCACGATCGATGAGCGTTGTACCCTTGTTTTGCTCTTTTCAGTTTTGAGTTCCGAAAAACGCACCTCGTGGGACAAGCTGACGCGCTTGCGCGTCAGGCAAATCGCGCCCGCCAAAGCGCCCATGTCCCATGCGGCGGAAAAAGCCAAAACCTGCGCTGTCGTCAACATGGTTAATGGTGCTTCCATGATGCATCAGTCAAATGTACCGATGCTTCTCTTAAGCAGGCAGAAGTACCAGAAATGTAGAGGATGGTGGAAAGCACGTAGAAAGTGCACGACAAAGACATTGGACATTATTACTTTACAGTGCTCATTTCGCTCACCGCTATGGTTCACGCGGCGAGATACCTGCGTCTCATTCGTCTCCATGCTCCCTCGATTTGAGCTTTGTTTTCTCGTCTCCTTTTTGGAATAGTAGACGCCTTCCCAGAAGGAGACGAGAAAATCTCAAACCTTCACCACTTCTAAAAGTAGGTGCTTGCTCCGAGAGTCTTGTGCACGTTTTAATCGTTTTTTTTTCCTCTACGTCGGCCCACCTCGCCCCTCTATTTTGGCTATTAAACGCAATGAGCACACCTGGTCATAGGGTGTACTTGAGATTTGGCTCCAGATTTTCACTCTTATTGCTTTTTGGTCACCATATCGTTCATGATGACCCCAAATCTTACCTGGCTGGGAGCGTCTCGCGAACATGAGGGCGAGGACCTCCCATGATGAGGCCCATGCATTGCACTTTAGCATGGGCTGACCTATTTGGCAGCTTCGAATTGAAATTCGCCAACAGCTGAATTTTTGCGTGAAGGGCTTCCGTTCGCGCTTTTATGAGAGACGAGATCATATTGTTTATTTCGCCATCATTTTCAATTCTCCTTTGCAGATATTCTGCTCTAGCTTCACAAACTCTTTAATTTGTTGAAGAAATAAATAGTAATCCGATTTTAAAAAGAACGAATTTAAAACTTGTTTAGATGGCGTCATCAGGCACGTCTGGAAAGAATGGCAGAGAAAAAGCAGAAGAGGGAGGAGATCGAGAAGAACAAGTCTGCAAGCAACAGCAAAGTAGAGGTCAGACCATCAACTTTGTTGCTATATCTTTTGTTTTACCTTTTTTTTCTGTCCGGACGTCCAATAGTTGACAGCCAACTTCTTCTAGCACAGCGAATTTCTTGCTTTTTTTGGGCTGGACATATCCTTGTTTTCTTTAACGCTGCTTCCATTTAGGAGCTTGAAAAGAAACTAAAATCTACGGAAATAAGCGCAGAGGAGAAGGAGAAAATCGAGAAAGAAATTGCAGAAATTAAAGATCAGGAAGCGAAATGGTTGGCAAAGGAAAAGGAATTAGAAGTAAGTCGAAAGACACTAACTTTTTGACTTTAAACGTTTAGTGCAAAGTTTGAAAGTTTCTGCGATTTATTCTGCTCAGCATTTGAAAGGCTGGGCTAGTAGTGATCCTAGCTAAATGCGATATTATCTTCTTGAGGAACAAGAGCGGCTCGAACCTTGGAATGTGGACACCATCGGACATGAGGCGTTCAGTTATTCGCGTATTAACAAAGTTGGTGAAAAGAAACCTCCACCGAAGTTGTCTGATGAGGAGGACTCGAAGAGAATGGTCGGTCTATTCGTATAGATTTTGCTTTTCAATTTTACTAGCTGAAATCAGTGCATGACAGTTTTTCCAGAAATCATACCACTATCTTCATGTTCTAGCCCTCCAAGTTTTTTATTTTGTTTTCTTATTACTAACAAATAGTTAATAAAATATGTATTCC